TTCTTCTGCCATCCTAGTTTGAAAGGAAGATATGTCACCATCAGGGATGTTAGGCCAGGTGAATCGGGATTCAATCTTTGTGAAGTTGAAGTGTATTCAGAACAAAGAGGTATGGCATATCTGGATATTTTTAAGAACTACTATTGACTGCTACCTTATTGAGTTGGAGTTGCAATCTGTATTCTCAGGAAAATTTGCTATTTAATTTCTGTATGTAGATATGTAGTTACTTCAGTATTAATAAAATATTAATGTAAAGTTGTGTATAGCAGATAGGTGTGATTAAGTTTGGTTTAAAAGTTGATATACATACATGCACAATGTATGTCATGACCTACCGTAGTTATTTGGTTATAAGGCGCACTTGGCTATAGGACGCACCCCCAATTTGGCAACTTCATTATTGCATGTTTTCAAACTGAAAATATTGCTAAAATACTTGGTTATAAGGTGCACCGTTGTTTGGGGAGTAAAGATCGGTCAAGTTTATTGTAAATTCTTTCATAAACTTACAAAAAAGCGAAAAAGTCGCGTATTGATTTTAGTTTACCGTTAATTAACAAAAGCAGAATTGTCGCACACGCGACTACGCGTACAAACAAAAAATTACTGAGCACGTGCTCTTGAGCACGTATCATATCTATGCAAATTTGACTTCGCTCGTCTTTTCAGAACCACCATATTTATAAAAGTCAATGACCAACACTGTGTCCTTTTATTTGCTTGAAATCATACCAGTAACTGTGATAAAAAAAAATTGTTTTGGGAAAATATTCGCCTATAAGACGCACCCAAACTTTGGCGGTAATTTTTAGTAGAAATTAGGAATTTCTTGAAAAAAACGGTGCACCCTATAACCGAATAACTACGGTATTTAAACATAAATGTTAAAAATTAAAAATGTGGCCCACCTTAAAACTTTTATTATTAACCTGTAAATCAATAGAAAGAATCATGTAGTGGTTGTGTAGTTAGCTGATGGTGTAAACAGACCTCATGATGGAAATATTTCAGTGGTTACAAGTAATCTCTGTTCATGAACTGGCAATTTGTAAGAATCCTGTTGTAGTGTGTTATTCTGGCCTCTAGAAATTACAGATGGTGTTTTTATCTTCAATTAGAGGCTAAAAGGTCATAAAGCTAATTAATTTTTCATTTTTCATTTTTCGAGCCTTGAGTTTGCACCCAACAACAACAACAGGTCTGTACACAAATACCTCAAATCACTGGTAAATCAGTTGAGGCATATGTTTAGACATTGCAGCACACTTGTGATTGTTACTGTACATGTATGATAAACTGATTCTCTTGGTTGAAACCACAGTTTATGGCAATTATGATTGTCTTTTAACAGTATGTTATAGTCAGGCCATTGGTGTGACCAGCAGAGATGCAATTCCAGATGGCAGCTTCTCAGCCTCATCATCTTTTAGTCATAACCGTAGACCTTCAGTTGGTCGTCTGAATCTAGATAGCAAGGGTTGGGTACCAGAGACTAACAACGATCCTACAGACTACCTACAAATTGACCTGCTGTATGATTATGTTATCTGTGCTGTAGCTACCCAAGGAGCTAATATTGTTGATCAGAGGACAACAAAGTACAAGATTCAGTTATCATTGAATGGTACCACCTTTTACTTTTATAAAGAAAACAACACTGAGAAGGTCAGTTTGATTTAATCAAAACATCATGCTAAACTTGGTTGAATTTTTTTCCTTTCATTTTGGTCTATGTAGTTACATAAAGGTACACTTATTCAAGCATAATTTTATACAAAACTGAAGAATAATGCATAATTATGTGAGAGCATTTTGTATGAGTTTGAACCAGGTAGCTCAGTTTGATTTGAAGAGACTTATTTTGCTAGATCAAGTGATTTAAAACTGTTTTTGTTAGAATTACAGCTGTAGATTATCCTCTTTCATCATTGTTTTGGTGATGGTGTTTACTTCATTTTTACTGATTGCCTATAGGCTTGTTGATAATTCTAAGCCAAGGAAAACTGCTGTCACTTGTGCACAGAAAGTTCAAATTTTCTTGTGAAGTGAATAAACATGTTAGTGTCAATTACTATTCATTTTCATTGACTGACACATGACTTGCTTTTGTGGAAAACATCATTTTTCTAAGTTTTGTGTAATCTTTGATATTTTAGGTCTTTAATGGAAACTCTGGGAAAAATGACATAGTAAAACATGCTTTGAGAGAATATGCTTTGGCAAGGTTCATCCATTTTGTGCCAACAGAGTATTATGCTTATAAGACATTGAGAGTGGAAGTTTATGGAGTTCTCTTATCTACAGGTACCAATTCTATTTTCTCTGTACCATATCATTGAAATCCAAAGTGTTGCAAAAAAGTGGATGAGAATACTTATATGACATGAGGAAATGCATATGCTGAAGAAAATATAGCCAATCAGGATTCAGGAACACAATTTTATATCTGATAGTATTGCAGCCACTCTTCTTATTGTGTGCTATGATCTTATTCCTGCCAAAATCAAGCACATGATATACCATTTCTAATGTATTTCAAGTGCTGTTTGAACCATG